CATGCTGGAGCCAGAGTCAGAGGAGAATAAAGTGGGTGGGGAGTCCAAACCTTATTTGGCAGTTCCTTTGTAAATATTGTGACACAGTAGTTCAGAAAACTGGTTAATAGAGAAAACTGAACTTATTGAAAAAGTATGTCCTAAAATATTACAAAKAAATTTATGCAGCAAGAGACTAAACTCAAATGTTCTGCACTCTTAGAGTCTCCAAATACACAATAAAATGCATTTAATGGCTAAAAAAGTGGATTTTGCATCATATGCCCCCTTTAAAACCCAAAGAAAAATATGGGTCTGTGTCCAGCACTGTACAGTTTTTGATCCACTGTCCAGTATCCCACATTATTCTCAGGTCATTCTTCGTCTTACCTTAAATCAGAAAAAAACACACAAAAAAGTTTCAACTTATAGTGTCTAAATTCATTCAACTGTCCCCTCTTTTTGTTYAAGTTCTAAAAACTCAATTCCTGATAAAACCAAAAAGGACATACATTTTTTTTCTATTTAGAGCTGCTTTTGTCTCACATTTTTATGGCCTGAATATGTACTCTGTTTGGTTGACTGAACAAACCGCTCTGGCACTTGCACAGCCATATGCCAATTAAACACCTCTAGTTGCTGATTACTAGCCTTTCTCTCACGCGGCACTGTTTGGAAGCCATACCTGACTGCGCCTTGATTACATCCTCCCTCTAGCCCATTTAATTTGGTCATTCATGGGACAAGCAGTGCTCTCTCTCTCTCATAGGCTGACAGGGCGTGTCACAACTAATTGGAAAACATGATCTTGAACAGAAACAAGCAATGGGAAYGTGCATGGCCTCGAGGCATGCCAGCACTTTTCAAAGTGAACAAAGACAGACATCTGAGATAACCCTGGGGTCAGGTAYACTTGCAGTATTTATAGCAGTAAAACTGTTCTCATATACCTCAGGCTCAGACTCATTCAATTAGTGCATCTCATAAGAAGATTGAATACAGACTAGACTGGAAATTTCAGAAGGGCCAACTTTTAAGCTGTTCGATATCTGGGTCAAAGGAATCCTGCCAGGTTTTTAGTGGCTGCTGAAAACCTGGCCACCACCAGCACGGCTCAGCTACCGCTGTGCAGATAGGGAACGTCATGATCTGATGGAATGCAATCTGTCTCTTTCTCTCTGAGGTCCTGGTTTGGGGCATATTTTTTAAAAGTGAGAATCCCTGATGCTATCATCAGGGAACAGATGAGCAAAACTCCATAACCTTCCTTTTCGCAGGTGGTCAAAACAATTAAGATTTGATTAGATGTTTCCAAATTAAAGGGAARCACTAATTTAGATTGCCAAGGCTCTGAACAATCAGCATGTGTGTGTGTGATGATGTTGTGATCCTCCAGCCTCTCTTTAAATGAGCCAAACACCCCACTCCGTTTGGAGTGGAAACAGACACATTTGACTCCAGCCTGCATCCCAGAGATGCTACCCTCTTCTCTGGATTTCTGCAAAATGATGTTGCCAAGCAGCTCATTCTCTCCTTACATTCACCGCTGATATTCACGCTCCTCTCYCCGCTCTTGTCTTTATGTGCTGCATGCGCTACGTACTGGTTAACACGGCTGTGAATATTTTTTTCCACATTGTTGTGCATGTAATTGTTTTTGATTGCTGGCAACAAAAACACAGCAATCCATCCTCATTCCTCCAGCCTATTTTTGCAGATGCATTCACTGGCAGAAATGGCTATGAAAGCACTGAAAGGATGATAATGCGAAACACAACACTGTCTTTTAGACCGTCATGGTCTTTGGGTTTTGTTATGACTTTGTGTGAGTTGTTGTTCTCATTTTCACGATTTTATATTTCATGGTTTCTGCATTGGGTTTTGTCATGTTTTGTCTTGCATTTAAAGTTTTTATTCTCTCTCTTTTTCTTCCTGTTTTGGACATGTGCCTRTGTGTAGGATGGTTTAGAGGATGATCTGTAATATCACAATTTTCAAAAGTTTGCGTTTGTCTATCCAAATGAAAACAAATACAAAAATATATAATTTATATATTAGAGGTGCAACAATACATGCATCTGTATCGGATCGTTGAATACACACTATGTATCGAACAATACAGATTTTTCAAATTTATTTTATCTTGTCTTGTCTTCTGAAGATGTGCTGTGTTCAGTAGATCTGCATTTGATTGCTCCAACTAGGCTGTATTGTCGAGCACAGATCCACTGAGAAACTTGCTGTTTCAGCAACATTTAATTTAAAAGCTGGACTTTTGAGGTTAAAAAAATGTTCTTAATTAATTTCAATAAATTACAAGTTAAGGAGGGCTTTGAAATTTCTCCTTTTTTGGACCAAAATATATCAAACTGTGAGACTAAAGCATGAAACCAAACTGAATCATGAATTTAGGTAGATTAACACGTTCTCACTCCCGACACGTCAACATATTGATGCTTGGTCGGGTACTGTCTGCGTCCAGTTTTGACGCGTCGTGTACCACCCTCGTGTCAGTCATTACGGCTTTTCCGGTTTTTGCCACATAAGGGTCTTTGTGTTGGGGGTCTGTGGTTAAAATGAGGGATCAGGATTAATGGTTAATTTTGGGTACAGAGGTCAGGGATATGCTGGATAGATAGATAGATAGATAGATAGATAGATAGATAGATAGATAGATAGA